TCCCTTTTCCACCCTCAGCTTGTGATTCAATTGGCTAACTACAGCCACATTTGTCAAAGGAATGGTGATCTCAAAAATAATTAAGTTCCTGCAGATTTTGTGCTTACAAATTGATGCTTGTAGAGCTACTTGTTATGCTGAAAGCATCTCCTGACAAGGTTATGCTGACCCTCCTTAAAGGAGATCTTGCTTTCATTGTTAACAAATCATATTTTGAATGAGATGCTATACGTGTCAGATCTGTGTTTTTAGTGGTCCAACAGGCATGCTAAATGTGCTGCTTTGTCATTAACTCATGACTGCAAAAGGGGAATGGAGATATTATGTTATTTCAGCTAATCAAGTGCAGAAGCTTCTAAATGCTAGAAGCTTTGGCCAAACCATAAGGATGAAAAATACACATAATCAATGATAGGTATTTGAAAGATTAATCAGAAAGCATGAAGTCCTTAAACTCATTTGGTACCCAGCAAGCCAGCTCTTGCCAAAGAAAATACAATTTAGAATGTGCCTGAATTAAAGAGGAAATTTGAGAAAATAACCTTATGAAAGTACCCTAGAAACCAAAATAGAGGCATTTATTTTGACAAAATTATCACATCTGCTTCTGAGTTTCAATTTTATGCTTTTTTAAAAAAAAATCTAGATCATAAGTATTGTTTTCACAAATATTCTAGGGTATTTTTATTAAACTTAGAAGCTGGTCTTTGTCTTTGCTTAAAAGTAGTGTAGCAACTGAAATGACATATCAACTATGAAATATTTCGTGCTCACCGTTGCAAATCTAGTCCAGATGATCACAGCCAAAAGGCTGATGGATTGTCCAAATACCTTAATCTGAGTGTTTTCTCCAGTTTCTGGTCAAATATCAATACCGGAAAAAATTAAGCACCACAATCAACATTAATTGCCATCCTAAAATGATTACTTGTGCATAATAGATATGTGGATTGATGTTGCATCTTGGGAGCCAGGGATAAGGCATGTCTTGCTCAGGCAGTGTGGAGGAAGCTTGATTGCTACTGATGCTTTTCCCGATCAATTGCTTAACTGGGAAGGGTTTGAGTTGTTGCTTTTAAACAATAAATTTAATAAGTATGGCTAGACTATTGAAAAGGAACCTAGGGTCATTTCCTCAACACATGTTGAGGTAACTGAAGAAAAACGACTGACTGTCAAAGATGACAAATCTTCACAGATTGCTTTGACTCACCAGACTTTACGGGTGCTTCGTTATGTCTACACAAGGCCAACTTTTTTAAGACTTTATCAATAGCTGTAAGTATTTGGATATTGCAACTTAAATTTTGGCTTTTTAAAGTTTTTTTTTTAACTAAATTGCCTATGAGGTATCCCCACATTTATATAAGCCATTTGTACTTTCACATACATGTTCAGTTGTGGTTTTGCAGACTGTTAATTACTCATTATTTTTAATTCTTTGGATTTGCATCTACAGTTTCCTGAAGAGTAATTTTTTTTAATTCATTCTAGACAGCTGAAGACTAGTATAGATACTTGGGGATCTCCACCAAGGCACCTCCTTAGACAAAGACAGCATGGCAGATGGTCCCTGCCCTGGAGAGCTTACAATTGAAATAATTTTCTTATGTCCCTCTTCTTTCTCTGAGGTATTAGTACCTGATTAGTATCCAGCTGCCTGCTTGTATAGTGTAAGTGCTCTCAAAGGCACCCCTCTCTGCAGCATGCTCAGCCACTGAAAGTAGAGATAATGAGCAGACAGCTTTCTTGCTTGCAACAGTTTAAACACTGTTAAATAATAGTTTTTGACAAGCAGGTTTAGAAATCAGGTGCTAATTTTCTGCAAAGAGTCAGAGAAGGATGTGTGGAATTATCACTGTGCCAGGGAGATCAAATTCTGTAGATGAGACTACACACCCACAGGTCTTGTTACAGGTTTGTACCATTGGTATCATTAAAGAAAAAAATTGCAAGCAGAGCCACTTCTGCAAGACTGAGAGAAAGGTTCTTGAAACAGATATGCTTAAAATGATAAATAGCAACCATTTGTACATTATCTGCACTTTAATTGGAAAAGGATACCTGTCTTCTCACTTATTTTAGTTCATACAGGAATTTACATGCCTATGTGACCAATTAACTAGGGGAATCCTCTTTGTAATTAAGAGCATTGTATTCAGGTTTGTATTATTAGTGAAATTGTTGTTACTTGTTGATGTATTTTGAACCTAGGACATCTATGATTATTCTCCTTCCTTTCCTCCTTCTCCATCCCTGCATCCTATCGGTTTCATACTTGAAAATGTACTAAGCTTATTGAAAATTTGGTCTAGTTACAAGGAGTGTGGATAGTGCCAGTAGGGAATGACTGCTTATTGCCTCTTCCAGGACAGGAATCAGGAGGCATCTTGACCCCTGCCCATGGGCTGATGTCTCAGCCTGGCCCGCAGGGTCAGTGGCTGTTCTCCTGTGTCCACTAGAAAAAGCTGGGGAATCATTGCCCTTTCTTCTTGCACTGAGAACATACTGTGAAGTCTCCAAAAGCCTGAAAGTTTCTGGGATTTAGGGTGTTGTGGAACATTTTTTCACACATGCATGCTTAGGCATAGTGTGCTGATGGGAATGGGCAGGGTCCGGAGAGGCTATGTAAACACAGAATCCAGCCCATAGTTACATCTCTTAGTTCCCTATCTGGAAATCTATCTTACTGCAGGCTGAACTTCCAGTCATGGTGGTATTTAGTCATGAGTGTCAAGATGATATCACACTGGCTATGCTCTGAAGCTGGGGGCAGGGTCTGATTTTGGGTCTGCTTGGGTCTAAGACTTTGGTTCAGGTTCATAAATGGAAGACTTCAGTGCCTCAGGACATTCCTGTTCTGCTTACTTAAACAGGTTTTTCTGTTGTTCATCAGTAAGTATTAAATTAAGTTCTTGTTTTAGATCAGATTTGGTAAGTTGTCAGGTTTGCAGCAGCTGTGGGGAGTTGGAATGAAGTTACTGGCTATGCTTTGCTGTGGTTGCAATGGGGGAGGTGTAGGTATTTATTTATTTAGATCAGAAAAGACAGATTGCACTTACCTGTTACTGTGCCTGCTCTTGGGGCTCTCCATGTGCCCTTATGGCTCCTGGATCTCTTTGTCAAGCATTTGAAGAAAAATCAATCCTTGGAAAAGTCAGTTCATTATAGCAGGGATCGTTGACTTGTCAAAAGTTACTGAAGACCCTATCAAGCTTTGCAAGAAAAAAAACCCAAAACACCAAAACGCCCCCACAAAACCAAAACACAAACCCCGTTCTATTCGTCCCTTTCTGATTTGATTCTTTGTCTCAGCTCTCATTCCAAAGGGCAAGAGGCAGTAGCACCACCAACAAAGCTTCTTTTACAGCCTTTTTTGGCATTAGTTATGGAGGGATCAGATGTCTGACCTTTCAGCAGTAAGTAAAAGGAGAATAGAAAGATCTATATTCCTGACAGTGTTTGGAAGTGCCTGGTCTCCCTAGTTTTTCTTTGCACTGACAGTTGTATGCGGTGTGCTCTAGATGTGCCAATAATGTTAAGGCAGAGGACCAAGCTTGTTGGCTTTGGCTGCTCCTTCCTGGCACTAAGTTGAGACTGTTGAAGTTAGCGAACTCTCTTAACACGGCAAAATCCGCTTTGCCATGGGGTGGTCCATCTGTGCACAAATCTTTCTAAAGGTCACCAAGGACTTTTAAGTTACATATGTTAATCCAGAGTGCCTCCTATGAAGGATATCCCTGTCCTCGTTCCAGCCCAGAAACCTAGTTGTAAGCTTTATAGTTTTCAGTAAGATATATAGGAACTGGATCTTAGTAGCAGAAAGAGTGCTTTAAGAATTCCAAGAGGTACGGTATAGTGAAAATCATTGTGTGTGTTTGTACACTGAGAGTATGTGTGTGGAGGCTAAACAGAGTCTTAAAATTTCTGCATTATAACCATATTTAATAATATCATTTACCATGCCAGTAATATTACCGGGGATGGGGAATTTCACATTCTGTGCAAGTGCTTGAGGCCTAAAGCAGATACCATAGCTCTCAAGACTTCAATGCCATGCATGGCAGATATATTAGCTGGCCAGAGGAGTAGACACTTCCTAAATCTCATCAAATGTTGGGTGCTGCAGACGAAGGATGACACTTTTGAGCCATACCTCTTTTTCTGAGGAGCAATACTACGTCCCTGGAAAAGCTATGCTGAAAGCTGCCCAGATTTTACTTGAATCAACATATCCTTTTATTCCTTCTCCCCTCTTCTCCCAAGGAAAAAGGGAAGATATGTTTGCAAGCTAATGCTCTGGTGCTTTGAGCCCCCGTGCATTGCCAGTGACCAGGCCAGACAACTGTCTTGAACTTTTGAGAAGGGAGGAGCACAGGCTGGCACAGGCCGCTGAGCGAAAAAGATCCTGCAACGTTTGGAAGATGAATGAGGAGGGAAAAGGGCCCCAGTTTTAACAGTGCACATGCTGAGTCACAAGGACCTTCCTTTCAGGGAATGATTGCCAGGCACTTTTCTGGAAGTTACACTTTTTAAAAAGCCCTTAAAGGGGCCTCTAAAAACAAAGGCACCCAAATTTACAAGTGGCCAGCAACGTTAAGGCACAGGACCCTGCTTGTTGGCTTTGGCGTGCATTGAGTTCAATATGTTGAAAGCAGAATCCATTGTAGGTACACGTAAATAGCTTCTATACAGATGTATTTGATTCTGTTTTCAATTGTGTGAAAGTATATATGTTTTCAGTGAAAATTTGAATTTTATGTATTTAGGAAATTAGAGATTAGACTGTGATATATGCACTTGAATTTCATGTAAATTAGATTATGGTAAAATTAATACAGCCTTTCATATAGCCTTTATGCTGTACTATCTTTTGCCTTTTATTTTGAAGTATATCATTCCTTGCTTTGCTCTGAAGTACTGAACAGTAGCAACAGAAGTTAACTCTCAGTGTGGCTGTCCACAATGTTAATTATCTGGATATGCTTTTATTCCTACAGCGAAGATGTTTGTAAACGAGGATTTACTGTTATTATCGATATGCGGGGATCCAAATGGGATTTGATCAAGCCTCTTCTAAAGACCCTTCAAGAAGCCTTCCCTGCTGAGATTCATGTTGCCCTGATTATAAAACCTGATAATTTCTGGCAGAAGCAGAAAACGAACTTCGGCAGTTCCAAGTTCATCTTTGAGGTGAGAGCCCTGTGAGAGATGTATGGTAAAACATTATCTCTGATAAGAAATTTCCTTGAGGTAAAAAAAAAAAAATCCAAAGCCCTGTGATTGAGAGAAAACAAGACATCTGAGGACTGTTTGCAGAGTGGGCATCAGGTTGCCTTCTGAGCACACTGGTGGAACAAGGTGCACGTTTCATCTCAGAGGTTCACATACATAGTTCACTTTGGTGAGGGTTCTTTTGTGGTATTTATTTTTGGTGGTGCTGCATTCAGTCTTTCCTTTGTTTCTCTTAGAAAAAAAAAAACCACCACCAAATCAGTAAATATACTAAAGACAAAGTTCTGTAGATGCTAATGTATGCATTTGTTAGTTGTTACCCAACTTCAGTGGCTTTGTTTTTATAAAAGAGATTTATACTAAATTTATCTCTATATTGTCACCCCTTTAATTGAGATTTACAATTCAGGGGTAACATTAACAACTCATGTTAATGTAAGGTACCTCAGGCAGGTTAATTGAGAAGTAACCAATATGCAACAACTGCATAATTAAAGGGAATTTTACTAACTTTGTCATTGGTGAAGACAAACCAGTAGTGTTCCCTTAGTGCACTTTAGTTATCTGTGAATTTCAGCTTCTTGCCCAAAGAGAGGCAAAGCTCAGGTCCATGAAGTGCTCATACATCAATCATGCCCAGCCATGAGTTAGTCATGTGTTGGGTTTTTGTTTTTTTTTTTTAATTTGCTGAGAAACAATTCTATTGTTGGCTGTCTTTCTTACCAGTCCATTAATTTCAGACACTCGGATTTTGCATCTCCAGAACTCAGAAGAGAATGTGGCTATAGTTTTAATGTTGACTGCAATGGAAGAGTATATTTAAGTATATATTTAAGATCTGTTGAAGTCAGTGTGATTTAAATATGTCCTTATTTTCAACCTCTTCTTAAAAGCACTCCTGAATTGTAGTGGGCAGCTAGATTGGTGTGAAGCATTAACAAACTTTTACATTATCACAATTTAAGTATTTGTACATTTTTTCCCTCTGTCTCACAAAAAAACCACTCAACTCATAAATTTTGCTTTGTTTAAATGGCTCCTCACCTTCCTTGGCTACCTATGAGGACTCAGCCATCAAAATAACTTCCACTTGTGCCTTTGAAAGCGAGCCTGACTTCAGTATAGGTTTATGTCACCTCCAGACATGCCTCACACTGAAATCACTGCTCCTGGCAGAAGTGGCTGCCCTTGCAGTGCAATGAGATTGGCAGTTCCCTGTGGGGAATGAGAGGGATCAGGGCAATGGGAAGGAGAAAAGACATGTATGGATACAGAAGAATGTGGAGCAGGAGAGAGGCTGTGCAGAGGCTTGTAATAGAATAGCTTTTGGGGATGGGGAGCTTCTGTTTAATATATATATGGGCACTAAGGCACAGTCCCGTAATAGCCCAAGAAAAGACACCTTATGCATGTGTATCCAACACTGAATAGTAAACAAAAGCAATGTCTTCCTAAAGCTTCAAAACCTACAAGTAAAGTAACAGAGTTCAAATATAAATTTTAGAATTTTTTTTTTGTTTTTAAAATGAATTGATACTTTCAGGAGGATTGACTTGTATTTTTTTATTGTGTGGAGTTGGTGTGATGATAGTGAAAGTAAACTGTGGTCAAGCTATTCTTCACAGTTACAGCTCTTGAGTCTGTTGTGTTAAAAGCTTGGACTCGTTTGCTGTACATGCTGGCTCGCATTAAGGATATCTGCATTTTGTGTGTGTGCCTTTGAGCCTTTGTCTGCTGGGCTGTTCACATGGGTGTTTGTAAAGGTTCACAAATTTTTGGACTGGAGGAGAAGAGTAAGTGCTTTTGCTGTCGACTGGGCCACCCGCAGACACTCAGAACTGATGAGTCCTTCAATTCTATGATTTTAAATAAATTTCTTAAGCTGTGGTCCACTGTACAGTAGACCCCCTGCAATATACGCATCACAATCCAGGAAATTCTGTTTAAAGGACTCTTGTGGCTGCTGCTGCTTATTGGCAGGCTTGGGCTCTGGGGCAGCTCATCTCTCTCATAAGAACTGTGAGTATCAAATAAGCATCACAGTTCAATATGACTCACATTTATTTGATTTATGTGGGGAAACACAGCGGTACCCTCTCTGCTCTGAACCATCATGGTGATTTCCCACAGCTGTGATCAAACACGAGGTCCTTGGCAGGAACAGACTGCAGTGAGAGGCACTGGAAGTCTCTGCTGAATTCCCCCGTCCACTAACTCAGCAGTAACCAGTGGCGGATTTAAGGCCAGATTCTGCTTTTCAGCTTAATGGAAGCATTATGCATGTGCCAGGGCAGTGTATGACCCTTAGTGGAGTCTAATGATCTGCATTTTGTGTTGTGAGATGCTGGCAGAATGATCCTGTGTCATAGTCCAGAGAGTGCAGCATGCCTGCAGATCATCACACAAAGAAAAGAGAAAAAAAAGGGTATGGTTGACATATGTGACTCCAAAGCTTCCTGTCACTTTGAGGAATGGACCAGGCAGCTTAGTTAGCATTAATTTAGAGGTGCCTTCAAGATTATTTTCTTTCTGCTGCTGAAAGGGTTTAAATAGTGGGCAGCACTTTTAAAAGTGATTTCTAAAAGACAGACGGGTGATGCCTGAGAGACTTTATCTCTCAGGTTAAAGCCTGAGAGACTTTATCTTATCACCTACCTACCTACCTAAGGTTGTTTTCATGAGAGTTTCAAGAAATCCTTAAAGAAACAAATCTGAATAAAGATATTTGCTGCAGAATTTGTGAAATGAAAAGCCTTTCTGCTATATCATCTTGTCATATTCTGCTCATGATAACAGCAGTGCTTGCATTAGCTAGACACACTGCAGGCAGAACGCCCAGGTATTAGCCATGAAGAGGAGTCTTTTCTTGACAGGCAATTAAAGTCTAAATTGAATTATCTTCAAGGGGTCAGTGTCCAGGTCAAGAGGTTTAGAAATCTGAAATCCCTCTGAAGCTACACACTTACCTTCCCATTGTTTGTTGGCTCTTCCCTCTGTCCTCCCCCTTCCCCAAAGCAAGGAACACTGCAAGAAAATGTTAAAATAATCTTTCTGCTGAGCATAAGTTCAATACAACCCCAACTTTAATACATTGCAGAATGCCTGATTTTTTTAGATGGATACAAATTGGAAGAAAAGCCTATTACTAACTTTAAACCAGTGGGCAGCCTGCTATTTTGGACATAATTCAGGATAATGGACAGGACTTGAGGTATTTTTCTTTGTAGATGACTTTTACAAGATTGCTGTGATTATTGGGTGCTTCCACTTCTGAAGAGCACAAACTCTGACATTCTTTAGAGGCCTGATCTTTAGGGGATAGATGTGCGGTCACTGATGAACATCACAAGCCTTTAAGGGCTGCCAACTTGGGTGTTAACATGACTGCACTGAAAATCTCTAGTAACATATGAAAGTCTATGCTCATATTTCAGAAAAAAAGTAATTTGTCTAAAATAAATGGGAATCGCCATCAGTTGTTGCGTCCTTAAACTGTAAACTGCTTTCCAGACGCCCAGTGCATTTCTCTATCACTGATTACTGAGTCTGAAAGAATTAAAACCATCTCTCATTGATTGTGTATGATTCATGAGCAGTACTTTCTATTAGCAATAAATTCAAATTGTTAATACTCCAATGGCATTTCACTTTTACATTGATTTTGTCTTAATTACATTAGAAATTACTAATATGAAAGAGATTTGCCTGTGGCAAAAGCCAACTGGAATAATCGAGAAGAAAAAAACAGCATATTCTGTGTTATGGCAGTTTGCAATACCTGCTTCAGTTCACGTGCCTAAAACTTTTGCTGCTGTATAGCCACTAGCCTGAGCGTAACACAAGTAGCAGAATCCCTGTAATACCATATACCTGTTTAGTGAACAACCATGTCCAGATACCCAACAGCTGTAGTAAAAGTCTTCATGTCCAACTGGGTTAAAGCAATCTGTGGCAGAAGCATTCTCGTTATATGTTTTCGATAGGCAGGCCAGCTGAAAAAGACAGACATCATTCCAGTAAATAGCATGTCTTCTAATAAATAAATAAATCAGTGCCGTTAATAGAAAAGTTTTCAATCCAATTAATTAATCAAAATTAAACATAGTCCTCAGCATCTTTTACAATGTTCCCTCAGTTATGTATTGATGAGGAAAATAATCCCTTCATGCTATTTATGGATTGCACTGTTATTTCTGATTAGACAGTCACTGATTCAAACGCTGTCGTTTTCCCTTCCTTAGACAAGCATGGTATCTGTTGAAGGCCTGGCAAAACTTGTAGATCCTTCTCAACTGACGGATGAGTTTGAAGGATCCTTGGATTACAACCACGATGAATGGATAGAGTTGCGCGTCTCCTTGGAAGAGTTTTTCAACAGTGCCATCCATTTACTATCAAGGCTGGAGGATCTCCAGGAAATGTTGGCTAGGAAGGAGTTTCCAGTTGATGTTGAAGGCTCAAGAAGGCTGATTGATGAGCACACACAGCTTAAGAAAAAAGTGATTAAAGCTCCTGTGGAAGAACTGGATCGTGAGGGCCAGAGGTTATTACAATGCATAAGATGCAGTGATGGTTTTTCTGGTAGGAACTGCATTCCTGGAAGTGCAGATTTTCAAAGTCTTGTGCCAAAGATCACCAGCCTTTTAGACAAGCTGCATTCTACCCGGCAACACTTACATCAGATGTGGCATGTCCGCAAGTTGAAACTGGACCAGTGCTTTCAACTCCGTCTTTTTGAGCAAGATGCTGAGAAGGTAGGGAATAATCTGTTCCTTTCATACTTGAACCAAGACTTCATCACAAGGACACTGTGACCATTTTTTCTATAATTAGCAACATGAGGTATTTGTCACAGGTGTAAAACTCATGTTGCCAGCAGATGTACTTTATGTGACTCGTGAACCAAATTCGCTGAACTAATTGTTGGATGTAGCAGGCATAATGATATCCAAGAATAACTTGTCTGTGTCACTTTTGATGAAAGTTAATCTGATTTTTTATGTCACAATGGGTACATTTGGTAGACATGAGCATGAGAATCAGGCTTTTTTTTTTTCAAGTTTCTTTTACTAAGCTTATGAATATATTTATCTACATGTCACAGCACCTAAAGAAGAATGATTTTAGGGTTTGATTCATGGTGATTGTTGTTTGCACTTCTTGCGAGTCTATGGGAAATTTGTAGTTTAAATCCTCCTAATTGTTATCTCAAACAACATTTTCAGTTTCCCTTTCCTGAGAAATCACAACAGGATTTGCAACTGGTAAAATCTTTAGTGATGGCTTTGTACCAAGCACATGGCCACTTAGTTCCCACAGCACGAGACTGGAGACTGTGTTTAGGTTAAACATATAAACAGGCCATGAGAAGTATTCTGAAATGACAGCAGCATGCAAACCTCAGTGTGGCTGTTTTGCATTAAAAAACACATAAGGATGGCATTTGAATTCATACCTGACTCTCAGTCAGTGTCCAAGATTCCTTTTCATCAGCGCGAGACCTTATGTGAGAAATATTTAGCATTAAATTATTCCATTGCAACTTCATGTGTCCTAGGCGTTTGTAATGTAGCATATCAGCCTGAAAAGCACTTAGTGTCTCAAAATGAAATACAGTGTACAGAAGTACTTAGAGCAGCAGGCACACAGGTAAGTAACGTGACTTTAGAAAGTTGTAGTTCAACAGGTGTGCAGTGCTGCTGCAGGGTTACATCCCCATTCCCTGCCTCTTCAGAAGATACTCATTCAGGAACCTGTAGTAGATAGGGAAGTCCCCTGCAAGCAAAGCATAGCAGCTTGTCATGTTTGTTGAAAAGACTGGCTAAAAACCAACCAGTGTTCCCTAACCAGGTCTCATACACACCACTGCCTACAAATTTCACTAATACACAATAATGCAGGCTTCTCACTACTTCCAGTATTCCTTTGCTGTTTGCCTCTGGAAGCCTATGCAAGTACTGATTTTGGTGAACTTATTTTAGAAAACTGTGTTGTGCTAGAGTCATGGCAGCCTCACTTTCTTAATGCAGAAGTGGTTGACATCTTGTTAGGTGGTTTTGTGAGAAGTCTTTGCTGCACATTTAAAATTCTAGGCCACAGAAGCAGGGTGTTCTCAGTGGAAGGTACTGAGCTCTTGGACTCGTGTTCATCTAGTCTGTACATCCATCAAAACCACCAGTCTCTGAATCTTCTCCACCTAATGTATGATCCAGTTGTTTCACAAATGTGTCTGCCTGGACCCGGGAGGAATAGCAAAAGAAACACAGACCTCATCTGCAGGGTGATATCACTGAAGATGATTTTTTTTTTTTTTAATCAGCTGCAAATTAATATTATTTTTAAAACATCAGGGAGAAGCACATTGCTAAAACATATAATCTTCAGTAGTGCAGAGCAAGACACAACGCATTGTTTTTCGATGCATGTACTAAATATCTCTAAGGGATGCTAGGACTGAAAGGGCTCCATCATTGTATAATCAACCCTCCTATTGGGAAAACCTTGAATTCAGATGAGTCCCTCTAAAATGAAAGTCACTGCAGCATCACTCAAGAATGCACAAAACCAGAGTTTTTCTTCCAAACACTACAATTTCTTCTTCTTCTCCTTTTTCCTTCTGTGCCATAAGGAGATACTCACTGCTGTCCTTCCCAGCGGTGGCTGTATTTCAGTCAGTGCTTCAGTTTGGATTTTCAGTTTCTTTGGGATTATTCAGATGACCACTGCTTACTAACATCAATTTTTATTTTTATTTATGATTATTGTTTGCTAATATTTTTTGCAAATTATTATTATTCAGCAAATTGCTATATTAATAATAATAATAATTTTATGAGCTGAAAGGCTCTCATATCAAGTCAGTGTCTGAGAAATTCTTGTTGCCAAGCACCGTTCTGTAGTGTTGAAGGAAGTCTCCAATATATTTTTCCTTTCTAACCCTGAACAGGCATAAAAGGATGGTGTGATTCAGTTCTGAGCACTGTGACAGCGAGGTTCTTTGTACGTGTTGTTCTGAGGTTAAGTGTAAGGTTTAGGCAAGTCCACAGATAAATGAAACTTTTGAGGTGAAGGAAGGAGCAGTGAGAATGTGATTCCTGCCTTTTTAACACTGGCTATCTCGAGCAATTCCTGATTGACAAAAATGGCATTTTGATATTCTCAATATCTCTTATTCATCTACCTCACATTAACTAATCACACAGTCTTGCTTTGGCTTCTCTGAGTAGCTCTTCTTGCCTTTCCTCGACTACTACATTTTCCCAAATAATAGAAAATACTTTCTTGTTTTACACTCTCAAATCAGTGTTTTTAATTTTTCAGTTTGTGAGTCCCTAAAATTCTTCCAGGGATGGCTGCAGATCCTTTTACTTACATATCGCACATGTAGACTGATGTAAAATATTGATGTGCTTATCCTCCTTAGCTGCCTTTTGCAGATCTCTTTGAAGCAGTCTGACCATCTCAGACTGGAAAGTACTTGTCTCATGAAATGTTCAGAGCTAAATCCAATCTGAGCGCTGTCTCCACTGTATAAATAGCCACCACAGTGTGTCTGTGTATTGAATTTTAACTTTTTCTGGTACCTCCATTTGCTCAGTTGCACTTTACCCTCTACAATTAGGCATGGTAGCAGAGCCAGGATGGTCTTCATCTCCTGGGGAGAGGCACAGCTCTTTCCATACAAGCTGGATATGTCATTTAGTGCTAATCAAATGATGACTCTAATACCTTGTGCGAGCTCAAACTCCAACATAAAATTCTGAATATAAATAAGGGTTTAGAGTCTTTTAAAATACCTCTGTATACTCATTGGGTGATATTTTAGGAAACCTGTTCTAATAAGGTGAAAATGGACAAGGACTTTCCATTTTCTGGACACCTCTGATTTTAAAAATTTCAGGTGTCCTCATTGCCTGGAAAGTTCTTAAAGGTGGGAAAGAAAAAAAAAGAGGGGGACACAAGAAGGAAAAACACACAGTATTTTAAAGTAGGTTAATTTTTGAACCCCTTACTATTAAAATACCCAGGATACTCAAAGCAAATCAATTCACTTTTTCCCCTCCTATAGATCGCCTCTGTTGAAACATTTAGAAATGACAGTCACTGCCTGGACACACAAATAATTCAAATTACAGGTATTACAACTTACAGAAGGTCTGTATAGCTGTGCGCTGAGCAACTCATTTTATTGGCAACATAAAGAGGGGATGGCAGTCTCACTCTGGGCTTCTCCCACTCAAATCAGTGGGAGAGAGCAGAGCTGTCTGTGGAGAAGATTTGTCTCCAAGTCAAGCCGTTAGGGTTTTATTTTCCTGTGCCGGCGAGGAAAAGCTGGGCTCTCACATAGACACAAGCAGTGCGGTGAGATTGAATGCCCAGATGGAGACTGGAAGCTCCCTGAAGCTCAAGTCAGGAGGCAGGTCAGTGTGTGGGGAGCTTTGGCAGAGTGGTGCGAGGAAGTTCACATGCTGTGCAGCGCTGCCTGTAACGATCTGCTGATAAATAACACATTTCAGCCGCTGGTGTAGCCCTGACCCTCACTGTTCAACAAATTCATTCCTCACCAACTAATATATACATATGTATGTACATTTGTACATACATATGTAATTTTGAAACTAGAACTGAGGCTTCACTGTGTTTTTACTGGGTGACAGGGAAAATATTTTTAGCCATCATGAAAAAACAAGAAAAAATGTAGCCCAGTCTAAATTGAATGTTGTTTAAAACAAAAAAACCACAATCAGCATTGATCCAACTATTAGAACTGTCTGAGAAATGTTAATTGGTTGGTTGAAATCTGGACAGGGAGAAGAATTCAGGCAAGAGTCTACATGTTTTGCACTCGAATAAATACCAAAAGAGAAAAAATTATCCTTACATTCTGCTCTTTCCAGCTTTTCTGGAAATCATTTGTAACTGGCACCCAACTTGACTTTTGTAGGAATTTCCCCATCATTTTGGGTTGGTTCCAGATCAATTTTACTACCCCGGCATGTATGTGAATGAAAAACAGCTATCATGATGTAATCAGTGTTGTCCACATTAAATATAAACAATATAGTCATCAGCTGGACTGAACCAAGGATCTCTACTGTAAACTTGTAATACCAGAGCAAAGAAGGAGCAGGCTGCTGTAATATCATCCAGGTCAGCCTCTAATGAGAAGCAGAGGAGACTGCGTGTTCTGTCTGTCCTCACCTCCCCTCCTCCTTCCTGACGCTACAGAGTCCACTACACAAAGGCAAACGCCAAAAGATGGCAATGGTAGTTAGAAAATGCCACGAGTGAATTTCATGGGAAGTTTGCAGTAGGAGAAACATTTTATTTGGATAGGGCCAGCTTTGTAGAAAGTCTAGTGGCAAACCACAGGCCACATCTAGTCTTAAAGCAGCAGCGAAGTAGTGGGCTTGCACTCAAAACCATCTGCCTCATCCATACTAAAGCTTCCCTTTGAAAAGCACGGCTCTGCCCGTGATTTTCCCTGTGGAGCAGGCTATGGGAAGCTGCACTGCTGCTGGGGGCTGCCATGGTTCTGCTGCCCTGTGAGCAGCTGCAGCGAGAGGGAGCGGAGGGCATGGCCTGCAGGTCCTACCCAGAGCAGCTGTTGCTCCCATTTCCCAGGTGATGTGACCAGCCTCGAATGACAGAAAGATTTCAGTGGGTGCAAGAGTGATCGGAATGTGATGACAATGCAAAGGTCATGCAATAGAAGACAAGTTTGGAGGAGGGGGAGTAAGCAAAATGGTTGGGG